TGCACGGGATGATGCCCAACAAACTGCCCACACTGGCCAGGACACGTGGCTATTGGCAAGTGCTGACCCACAGGCCTAGCTCCCTTCACCTTCTCATCGGGCAGCCCTGGGCTTTGGCAGGCAGCAAGCTCAGGCTAGGACTGAGGGGCCTGGAGGACACGGGGTTGCTGTGCGGGGAAGAGGGTGGGGAATAGCTGATGTGTCGTTTTTTAAGAAAGGCTAGAAATCTGTTTTTCTATGTGAAATTGCCCAGTTTCTTTAAACATGATGGGCCAACTGTCCACTCACGGGTTGACCACCCTGGCCCCCTCAGAGTTCCCTGTGGCCTATGACCTTCGGCCTGGCCTGCTGTGCAGTGGAGATGATGCATATGGCAGCACCCCGCTACGACATGGACCGCTTTGGCGTGGTCTTCCGAGCCAGCCCACGCCAGTCAGATGTCATGATTGTGGCCGGGACACTCACCAACAAGATGGCCCCTGCACTCCGCAAGGTAGGCCTGGCCGGGACCCCACCCCTCCACCGCCCAGGATTGAGCTGCACACAGACCCTGTCGTCTCTTCCAGGTCTATGACCAGATGCCAGAGCCTCGCTATGTTGTGTCCATGGGGAGGTGAGTTCCAGTGAGGCTGGGGGCCATAATCTGGCTCCAGGGACGAGACATACCTATGACACACGGTTGTGTTTCCCCCCAGTGTTTTATCTGGGCTTCTGTCTGGTCAAGGTCATGGAGGTATAATTTATACTCAGTAAAATCCCACACCTGCAGGGAGCCGAATAGTGACTCTGACACTCTGCTGTGTAGACTACCCCCTCCCCAGAATGTCCCTTCCTGTGGGTTACTATTGCTCTCACCCCAACAGCCCTCTGATTTGTCTGTTTCTTTATGAATACATACATGCTATCACCCTTTTAGACAGTGTACATTCTCTTTGCCTTTTTAACTTGTAGTCATTCTCTCCATTGTTAAAACCTGTTTAATCAGTTAATTTTTTTTGTTGAGATAGAAGTCACATAACAGAAAGTTCACCCTTTTAAAGTGTGCAGTTCAGTGGGCTTTAATGCAGTCACAATGTGTAAAACTATCCCAACTGTCTAGTTCCAGATGATTCCATTATCCCACAATAGCCCCGTCCCCCCATCAGCACTCACCTCCCACCCTCTTCCCCAGCCCCTGGCAACCACACCCGTTTCCTGTCCTGTGCCTGTTCTGGACATTTCCTATAAAGGGAATCACACACTGTGTGGCCTTTTGAGCCTGGCTCCTCACTGAGCATCATGTTTTCAAGGTCCATCCATTCATTTCTGTTCTACCTGGTCTCAGGTGGCTGTTGTCTTTCCTATGACTTCATATCCCTTCTTGTCATTTTTGGCAGGCTAGGCACCTGCCTGCAGTGGAAGGCAGGTGTGGGTTAGGGAAAGGGCCCTGAGGAGGGAGCAAGGCCAGGATGGCCAGCGAGGCCCTCACACCACTCTTCCCACTCCAGCTGCGCCAACGGAGGAGGTTACTACCACTACTCGTACTCCGTCGTGAGGGGCTGTGACCGCATCGTGCCTGTGGACATCTACGTCCCAGGTAAGTCCGCTGCCTTGACTCTGGGCAACCGGGCCTTCAGGTCCCCACAAAGGAGTCCCAATACCCTATAGACATGGTGGGCTCTCCCTGTTTTAAGAATGAGCAGATTTGGCCTGGCTGACATGGCTCAGTGGTTGAGCATTGACCTATGAACCAGGAGGTCACAGTTTGATTCCAAGTCAGGGCATGTAGGAGGCAGCCAATCAATGATTCTCTCTCATTGATGTTTCTATCTCTCTCTCCTTCTCCTTACCTCTCTGAAATAAAAAAAATGTATGTTTTTGAAGAAAAAAAAGAGCAGATTTGGGTCTAAGAAGAGTGACACCCCATTCTTTCCTTTTTGTCGTTTCTTCATGGGCTCCCCAGTTTCATCCAGATGTTGGACCAGGCCAACATCAAAAGGGTTAGGTTGAGCTGTACAAAATTGCTGATATTTGGCCATTTTTAAGCTACAGTTTTATATGATTCCACCTAATAGAAACCAAACCCAATAAATGCAATTAAAAAACAGAAAAAAGTTCCTGGAGGACATGAATAGCGTCTGCGAGGTCTCATACTCATGATGGGTGGTGAGACCCCACCCTGCTTAGACCCAGGGTCATCAGGGTGTCCAAGTTCAGCAAATAAAAATGCAGGGACCCAGTTAAATTTGAATGTCAGAGAAACAATGAATAATATCTTTTTCATTATAAATGTATCCCATGATATTTGGGATATAGTTATACTAAAAAAAAGTATCAGTGGTTTGTCTGAAGTTTACATGTAACTGGGTGTCTTTATTGTATCAAACTATCCTGCAGAAGTCCCTCCTCACCGCGCCAATCAGCAGGGGGTGGCCTCCTGGGCATGTGCTGGCACCTCCCAAAGGCAGAGAAACAGGTTTCCACATTGGATTAGAGCTCATTGGAAAATGGCATTGATTTGTTTAACATTCTGCAAATATTTATTTTTAATCTTGAACATCAGATTCTTTTCTTTTTATTTAAATACTAGTAGCCCTGCGCACGAATCTGCGCCAGTAGCTCGCTGCCGCCCTCCAGTAGCTCTCCACCTGCTGCCTCAACCTCCTGTAGCTCCCCCCCCCATAGCTTGCTGCCCTGCCCCCTCCTGTAGCTCTCCGCTGCCTCGCTGCCCCACCCTCCTGCTGATCCGTGATCCAGTTGTTAATCGGTCGGTTACACTTCACGGGGTAACAGCCATTTGCATATTACATCTTTATTATATAGGATATTTTTGTTGATTTCAGAGAGGAAGGGAGAAGGAGAGAAAGATAGAAACATCAATGATGAGAAAGAATCATTGATTGGCTGCCTCTGGCACGCCCCACACTGGAAATCGAGCCCGCAACTGGGGCATGTGCCCTGACTGGGAATCGAACCATCATCTCCTGGTTCACAGGTTGATGCTCAACCACTGAGCCAGACCAGCTGGGCTGCAAATATTGAGTGCATTTTCTAGGCCTGGGCCTGGCTTGAGCAGCACTGGGCCCTAGAAAGGTCCCATCACCAGACCAGGCCCTGGGGAACCAGGTTGGGGGGATGGAGCCTGACACAGACGTGCCCCGCCCCACCTATTGTGTAAGACTTTGAAAGATGCATAGAAGTCTATCTTGCAGGCTTGTTAACCTTGACCAGGAGCCAGACCCTTGGTCAGTCACTGCTTGTTTGACCCATGACCTCAGGCAAATCTCTCCAAGCCTCAGTTTCCCCATCTATCAAATGGCCATTGTGATCCTACTGTCAGGCACTGAGCACCCCAGAGTCAGCTGGAAGTAAATGACTGTGACAGTTCTTCATCCAGCCTCCCGAGGTGGCGGGCCTGTCAGGTCCTGGCATGTCCTCCAGGTGGCAAAGTGTCTCTCTGCTTCTTCCACCTGAGACACTCGGGATGGAGACTGTGAGGACTGTTTCTCTGGGAGTTTCCTTCTCAGTCTGTGAGCCGCCCCGCCCTGCCCACCTTGCTGGCTACTTCCATTGATGGGCCAAACTATCCACCCCCTTCCTGCATTCTTTGGATGCTGGGGTGAGGGTCCTCAGCCCTCCCCACCATGGGAAGGCGTCAACCAGCCCTTAGCCCACCTGCAGCTCCCAGGTCACTCTTCCTAGGGCCCTTGGTAGCCCAGGCCTTTCTGCTCCTTGTGCCGGTAGTTGCTGCCCCCAGCCGGACCCTTTGACCTTCCTTCCGTTTCATGTGCCCTTTGCCAGGCAGCAGGGAGAGGGGTGGTGCCCCAGTAGGGCCCAGATCCAGTCACTGGTCAAGGGCTCCTGGCAGAGCCAGAGCTGTGGGCTCCCTCCCCATGGGCAGACACTGAGGCAAGGTCCCACCCCCAGGCTGCCCACCTACCGCCGAGGCCCTACTCTATGGCATCCTGCAGCTGCAGAAGAAAATCAAGCGCGAGAAGAGACTCAAGATCTGGTACCGAAGGTAGTGCCACCCGACTGACACCCTGTATCCTCTTCGTCATCCTGAGAGATGGTCAATAAACCTGAGAAACCCACTGGCATGGAAGCCTGCCCTCAGTGTGTATGGGCAGGGGCTCTTGGGAAGTAGAGGTGCCCACAGGGCAGAGTACCCCTTGTGCTGGGTGTAGGTGGGCGAGTGCTTCCTTGGTCAGGGTCAGTCCTTAGAGATGCTGAGGCCCTGGAGGCAGGTGGCTCGGTCCACATCAGCCCCTCTTAGGGGCCTTACACCTCGTCTCCTAAGGCCCCACCGTGAGGAAGGAGAACCCAGAGCATCCCCTGGAGCCAGGTGGGGGCTGGGCTGCCTCTGCACTGAGACTGAAGGGGATGTTGAGTCAGAGGAAACGAGACAGTGGGAGAGTGTCAGGCCTCAGCAAATGACACTGCACTTCACGAGTGGCTGAGGGACCTGTGAGTCCAGATGTAAAAATGTTGCTTTATTTTGAAGTTCAGCCTGACTTGGTGGGACCAGAAAATCCTCCTCAGTAGCCTGAGGACCTGGGCCTAGAGCTGCTACCCTCCTTGCAGTCCTGACCTAGTTCTGGACCCCAGGTGCCAAGCACAGGGAAGGGAGGGGCAACCGCCCTGGATGGCTGAGGGACAGGACCACAGGTGATTGATTGGTGATGTCTCCTTTGGGCAGGATTGGGTTCACCGACTTGTACACAATGGAGCATATAGCTCACGGATCAGCAGATGCTCCTCATCATATAGCTTGCCCACTGAAAGTCCAATAACAGATTGCTTTTTTTAAAATATGTTTTTATTGATTTTAGAGAGAGGGGGAGATAGAAATAGAAACATTGATGAGAAACACCCCTCCGCTGGCTTGCACACCCCCTACTGGGGTTTGAGCCTACAACCCGGGCATGTGTCCTAACCAGGAATCTTGGTGCATGGGACACTCCAATTGATTGACACAAGCCGTGCAACAAATTTTTCTTTTTGGAGGAGTGAGAGCACACTTTTGCAATGTGTGCTGATTGGCCAGCTTAGTGTTACATTTATTTCATCCCTGTGACCCCAGAAGAAGGCTGATACTGGTACTCTTGCAGAGATTAGGGAAGGTAGCTGGGGTCTTACAGCTGGTGCTGCTTCAACTAGAAGCTGGGCTGAAGCCAGAGCCTGAGCTCCTGGCCATGAAGGCACTCAGAGGGTGGTGCACCAGACTTAGTGCTTGGTGACCAGGGGTGTGATCATCTGGGGAAAGGCATAGTAGCGGCAGTCAGCAGGCGGGACCAGCTCCATCACCTGTGTGTGGATGTTCTCCCGGCGGAAGCCCGACTCCAGCAGCGCCGGCACTTGTGTCTCCTGAGACAGGGAAGCGCCAGGTTATGTCCAGGCTCTGAGGACTCACACACGCACACCAGGTGCCTACCCTTCTTTGCACAGCATTGTTAATACCAAGGCCCCAGGGCTGCAGTAGCCTCTACCCCAGGCCCAAATGCTGAGACAACATGGGAGCCCAGGTCTGAGTGGCAGTCTCCGGGTGTCTAAACTCGGGCAGCAGCTTCCTGGCTGTCACAGGCCATCACCAGGCTGCCCAACTGCTCCCCCTAGCAAGCAGAGGCAGAGTTTGGTCAAAGGCCCTGCACTAACAGGGGCACCCTGGGTAGAGGAAGGCCTAAGTGAGGAGTATGGGGCCTGTCAGCCAGGTGGAGAGCTTGGGTTGAGACCTATGTCCCAAGGGCACTGGGGAGTACCTGCCTGATTTCCACACAGAGCACACAATCCACCTAAGAGCAGTCGGAAGCAAGGGACCTTCTCAGTCCAAGGTGACTGCAGCTGCCTCCCCAACCTGCCCGGGTGGGTGGGGGAAGGGAGGCGGGGAGCTAGGCTGCTGCACCTCAAACATGGTACTGATGTTGGAGTACTTGGACTTCATCAATTCCCCCCAGGAGGTGAGGTTGCAGTAGGTGAGGATGCCCCCAGGCTTCAGCAGGCGAAAAGCATGGCCCTGAGGGGGGGACAGAGGTGGGGAGGAAGATCAGAGAACCAAGTGGAAGGAGGGGCGCCCTGTGTGGGTGGCAGATGCCCCCACCCAGCTGAACTCCCATGCTGGTGGCTGCAGACCCTATCCCTCCGTGAGGTCCTACCCTGATGAAATTGAACTGGTGCGTGTGCCAGGTTTCCTCAGACAGCGGATACGTGTCGTACAGGATCCCTGCGTGGGAGGATGGAAGTCACATGGTCAGAGCCAGGGGCAGCCACACCAGGACAATGGCTCCACACCAAGGTGGAACTTGAACATGGCCCAGGAACCCCAGCAGCCATCCCCAAGTTCACTATGCTGCCACCACCTCTAGGTGTCATGTGCAATTCAGCGATTCCTTTAGGTATCCTGCCGAGTGTCAGGTCTGTGTGTGTGTACCCCCTTCCCAGACTCAGTTGGCCCAGTGACATGTCAGCCCCTGTGTTCTTTAAAAGGTCCCTCAGCAAGTGAGGAGGAGATTCAGGCAGAGGCTCCCCCTCACCCAGTACCCAGAGTCCCCTCACCATCAAAGTGACCATCTGGTAGGGTGGGTGCCACCTCTTCCCACAGGCCTTTCAGGGGAACCACCTTGAAGTAGGGGAGAAAAAGAAGGCTGAGGATCAGAGGGATCCCCAGGACTTCTCTGCTGTAAGAAGGAGGGCAGAGGAACTCCCACGGAGGATACTCCCCCCATCCCATGCCCGAGACTGCCCAGGAGTGGGAGGGGGCCTGCAGGCAGAGGTAGCACCTTGTGTGGCTGCCGCTGGGCCCAGTCCTGGAGCCGCTGGAAGACACCGTCGTTGCACTCAATGATCCAGTGCTCATCGATGGCAGCTTCCTGCACCTTGGTTGCTGCGATGGCCATGCCAAAGCCCACCTCCAGGACCCGGCCCCCTGGACACAGAAAAGGCGGGGGCTGGGGAGACTATCTAGACGAGGAGGCTCAGGGGCAGCGCCTTGGCACAGAGAAACTAGGGCAGGAGGGCACAGCAGACATAGGGACACAGTGGCCCTGAGAGGGAACAGTGTGGGCCCTGGCCAGCGGCCAAAAAGGGATGACCTGCCAGGGAGGCAGCAGAGCAGCTTTTGGGTCGGGTATTTGCGGGGGGAGGAGTCAAAACCTGGACTTTGAACCTGATTCTGGCTGTGTACACCAGTGGCACTGATGGCATGCCACTGGTGCAGCTTATCTTTTGGTTACTTTTCTCTCCCCCTCCCACCGTCCCCACAATGAAGTTCACAAGAGAAGGGCCTGGAACAATTGGGGTAGGGGTGGGGGGTGGTACCCACTGCACTACAGCCAGAGGCCTACAGGCCACGAACCCAGCCCTTGGGGGACCTGAGCACTCTTAGTGCCCTGACACCGGAGGGCAGAGTCACCCCGTCACAGCTGTCTCCCAGCCTCAGCTTTCCCAGAGCTATTCTTAGCTGGGGCGGGTGGGGTGTCCAGTCCAAGGACGCTCCCCACGTGCGTCTGGGCAGCGACCTCCGCCAGGCCCCCTGTTCCTGATCTCAGGGGGATGGGGGGGCCGGCACCTCATTTCTCCTGGAGAGGAAGTTCTCGATACTTAGGGGGCGCCTACTGAGTGCATGCCCCGTGCCTGTAGCACCCCTTTTAGTTCCCCATTGTCGTCCCCCAGTAGCAGCCCCATTCTCCAGGCTAGGAAAGAGGCAAGGAGAGGCTCCGATGCGCATCAGCCAGAGAGCTGGCTGGCATGGGCCTGGTCACCCTCGGCCCGGACGCAGAGCTACCTCTGGAGGCGGCGGCGGCCGCCAACGCGTGCATGTAGGGAGTCTCCCAGCGCTCCATCACTGGCTTGCCCAGGATCTGCAGGTGCATGTCCGACGCGTCGTAGGACGCGGGCGCCGCCAGCCACGCAGGCCTGCAGTTCTCTCCAGGCACGAAGATGGGGGTCGCGGCGGGGGCGCTCATATTGCAGGCGGACGGGCAATCCTGACTCTGCTCCCGAGGCGAAGGGTTGGTCCCTGCAGAGCCTTCTGGGCCGGAGGGTGTGACCATGACTGGCGGGGGCGTGGCCGAGGGCGTGAGGTGTTGAGGACCCGCCTGGAACCCGTGAGCGGACTGCACTGCGCGAAGACTCCAGTGCCCTCTAGCGGCCGTAGAGCAGAAGACGGCTTCACATGGGTCGGGTCCCGCTCTTCGCTGAACCTCCAGCGCCTGCTGGCGAACTAGGCACAGCAGCTGAGAGCCCTCAAGGTCTGTAGCCTCGCCTTTTCACTCTCCTGTCTCAATTTCCTCATCTGTCACTGCCGCAGAAAAGCCCCCTTTCCTTGCTGGGGTGGGAGGATCTAATGATTTTCCTGGCGCTGTTGGAAGTGCTTTAGGTATTTTTAAAAAATCATTCAGCCCTAGCCGGTTTGGCTCAGTGGATAGAGCGCCAGACTGCGGACTGAAGGGTCGCAGGTTCGATTCCAGTCAAGGGTATGTACCTTGGTTGCAGGCACATCCCCAGCAGGGGGTGTGCAGGAGGCAGCTGATCGATGTTTCTAACTCTATTCCTCTCCTTTCCTCTCTGTAAAAAATCAATAAAATATTTTTTTAAATCATTCAATCTTCAGAGATGTCGCAGTGGGTTTTTATTGTCCTCATGTCGCAGATGGGTAAACTGAGGCACCGAGAGGTACAGCCAGCAGTCTCATGGCCATGGATGTGGGTGGGTGAGGACTCAGGATTAGAACCCTGATAGTCCCCACTTCGACCACATGCTGAGCTGCCTCTCCTCTTTCAGGAGCTCACTTCACATCCCCATAAGCTGGTGGTCACCCAGGATCCTGATGGGCGTGATCACCATGCAGAGGCTTGCAGTTCTGGGGACCCAAATGTGATCCCAGCAGCCTGCTGTCCCTTACACCCAGGAAGTTGGATAGTGCAGCCCTGCCGGGACATGGGATTGAGGCCTTGTCCCAGCCCAGGGCAGCCCCTTGAAGTCAGCTGCATCTTCTGCCTGCCTGCCTGGGACCTACCCACAAGCACTCGCCTGTAATGTGGCTTCCCTTTTCCAATTCTTTGCACATCAGGCCATGAGCCCTAAACACTCCATTCCTGCCTTCCCACTGAAAAACTGAGGCCCAGAGACGCTGTGGTCACAGGGTTTGAACCCAGGCAGCATCTTCTTTATTTTTTAAAATATATAAACATATCTTTATTTTTATTTTAGCAAGAGAGTAAGGGGAGAGACATCAATTTGTTGTTCCACTTTTTTTGCTTGATTGTTTTTTGTTAATCCTCACCTGAGGATAGTTTCCCATTGATTTTTAGGGAAAGTGGAAGAGAGAGCCAAAGAAAGAGAGAAATATGGATGTGAGATAAACACATCGATTAGTTGCCTCCTGCACGCTCCCCAACCAGGGCCAGGGCTGGGGAGGAGCCTGCAACCAAGGTACGTGCCCTTGACCAGAATTGAACCCAGGACCCTTTGGTCCACAGGCCGACACTCTATCCACTGAGCCAAACTGTCTAGGGCTGTTCCACTTATTTATCCATTCATTGGTTGATTCTTGTATGTGCCCTGACGGGGGATCAAACCTGCAACCTTTGAGACAGTGCTCTAACTAACCAACTGAACTACACGACCAGGGTAGCCTCTTAAACAGTTCTCGAGTTTGGTCACTTCCCTGCATCTCTGTGACCATCTCTCATAGTCCTGACTGACAGCTTCAGACTACTCCCCACAACCCCTGCCCACCATCTGCAAAGTGCTCCTGTGTCACTCCTGCCTCCGGGCCTTTGCACATGCTCTTCCCTTGACCTGGACAGCTTCTCCTTTCTCCTGACTTGGTGTGGGCATCATGCTTGAGCCCATACCTCCTCTGGAAGGCCCCCAAGTCCCCCCAGGCTCTCTTATCTCTGAGTACTTCTCCTTGGCATTTCTCTAACTGAAGGTATTTATTTCTTCATGGCTCTATTGTCTGTCTGATGGGCTTGGTGCATAGAAAGTACCTGCTTGATAAATCCTGAGGGCACATTGGGATCTAATATAGTCTAGATATAACAACTCTGATTTCACAAGAATCTCGGGAGTGGGCAGGATGAGTGGATGCCATCAGACATCTGGGTTGGTCTCATGCTGCTTTTTGCCTCACATGAGTCCTTTTGGTCTGGTTTCCCCATCACCAGCCACCACCATGGGCACCAGGATGGACACTTTGTGGGCCTATATTCCAACATCTTGTGCTGCCCAAAGGGCATGTCCCAGGATGCTCCCGTGTGCATCCCGTGTAAATAGGTGGCACTCGTTAAATGTCACCCAACTCAAGGAATACCCTGGAATGCCTGCCTGAGACAGGAGGAGGCTGTATTCATTAGCACTTGCTATGGAACAAATCACCCCAAATGTAGCCGCTAAAACAAGGCACATTTATGAGCTCAGTTTCTATAGGTCAGGAATCCAGGTGCAGCTCAGCTCAGTCTTCTGCTTCTCAACGTCTCACAGGCTGCAGTCAAGGTGCCGCTGGTGCTGAGGACTCATCTGAAGGCTCAGCCAAGGAAGGGTCCTTTCCAAGCTCACCCACTGGGTATTGGCAGCATTCCGTTCCTTTGGGGCAATGGGCCCCAGGCCTGAGTTCTCGGCCATGTGGGCCTCCCCAGTGTGACAATGGGCTTCATCAGAGCCAGAAAGAGAGAGCCTGCTAGCAACAAGAACTGGCACCCTTTAAAAAATATTTTTATTGATTTCAGAGATGAAAGGAGAGGGAGAGAGAGATAGAAACATCAATAATGAGAGAGAATCATTGATTGGCTGCCTTCTGCACACCCCCTACTGGGGATTGAGCCCGCAACCTGGACATGTGCCCTTGACCAGAATCAAACCTGGGACCCTTCAGTCCGTGGGCCATTGCTCTATCCACTGAGCCAAACCAGCTAGGGCAAGAACTGGCACCCTTTATGAACTCGTAAGCAACAAACTCCAGCAGGTGTTAGGTGAAAAGGCAGGGTGGAGGGGAAATGTAGAGTGTGCCACACTGTGTGACAGGTGTGTGTGTGTGTGTGTGTGTGTGTGTGTGTAGACTGGAGCATTGTCTCACATAGATTGCCCTGGGAGGACACTCAAGGATCTGGTCATCATTGACAGGGCACTGTGAGGGGAGATTTTAACCTGGGTACACATTTATTGTGGTAAAACACACGTAACATAAAATTCATCATCTTGCCCTTACTAGTGTAGCTAAGTTAGTTAAGTATCATTCCTTGCACCAAGCAGTCACCAGTTTGATTCCAGGTCAGGGCACATGCCCAGGTTTCTGGCTTGATCCCCAGTAGGGGGCATGCAGGAGGCAGTTGATTGATGTTTCTCTCTCTCTCTCCCTCTCCCTCTCTCTCTAAAATCAATAAAAACATTTTTTAAAAAATTTACCATCTTTTTTAAAAATATATTTTTATTGATTTCAGAGAGGAAGGGAGAGGGAGAGAGAGATAGAAACATCAATGATGAGAGAGAATCACCGATGATGAGAGAGAATCATCAATTGGCTACTCCACACTGGGGATCAAGCCTGCAACCTGGGCATGTGCCCTTGACAGGAATCAAACCTGGGACCCTTCAGTCTGCAGGCTGAAGCTCTATCCACTGAGCCAAACCGGCTAGGGCTAAAAACTCACCATCTTAACCATTGTTAAGTGCATGGCTCAGTGGTATTAAGTACACTCATTGTTGTGCAACCATCGGGATCATCCATTAAACACCAAGTCCCCATCCCCCACTCCAACCCCTGGTTCCCACTATTTTCTGTCTCTATGAACTTGACTCCTCTAGGGATCTCCTATGAGTGGAACCACACAGTATTTGTCTGGCTTATGTCACTGAGCATCATGTTCATCCACATTGTAGCAAGTGTCAGATTGTCCTTCCTTTTTTTTTTTTGTATTCTTAAAAATGTGTTTTTAATAGGTAGAGAGGAAGGGAGAAAGAGAGATAGAAGCATCAATGAGAAACATCATTGATCAGCTGCCTCCTGCATGCCCCCTACCAGGGATCGAGCCTGCAACCTGGGCATGTGCCCTTACCGGGAATCAAACCAGCAACCTCTTGGTGCATGCATGGGTTGATGCTTAACCACTGAGCCACACCGGCTGGGCAGAATGACCTTTTTATTTTTATTTATTTATTTACTTATTTACTACTTATTATTGATTTCAGAGAGGAAGGGAGAGAGAGATAGAAGCATCAATGATGAGAGAGAAACATCATTGATCAGCTGCCTCCTGCACACCCCCTACTGGAGATTGAGCCACAATCCAGGCATTTGCCCTAACCGGGAATCGAACTGTGACCTGGTTCATGGGTCAACGCTTAACCACTGAGCAACACTGGCTGGGCAGAATGTCCTTCCTTCCATTCATTTATTTATTTATTTATTTTTTAAAATATATTTTTCTTGATTTCAGCAAGGAAGGGAGAGGGAGAGAGGGATAGAAACATCAATGATGAGAGAGAATCATTGATTGGCTGCCTCCTGCACGCCCCACCCTGGGGATCGAGCCCGCAACACAGGCATGTGCCCTAACCAGAATCTAACGACTTCTGGTTCATAGGTCGATGCTCAACCACTGAGCCACCCCGGCTGGGCTGTCTTTCCTTTAAAGGTTGACTAATATTCCAGTGTATGGATGCACCATGTTTTGTTTGTCCGTTCACTTGTCCATGGACACACCTTTGGCTGTTGTGAATCGGGATGCTGTGAATAGTTATATGCAGGTAGGTATCCAAGCCCCTGCTTTCAGTTCTCTGAATTTGAAAGGAGTGGAGCTGTTGGATCCTATGATATTCTATATTTAACATTTTAACCAACCCAAATTTTCTGCCCAGGGTTACTCCCCATGCTTCCAATCCAGTCCAGAGGGTTCTCACCCTAATGGCTAACTGCATACTCCACATTGACTGACATCATAGGGTACTCACTCCATTGGCTAACTCCATATAACCATGTGACCCCCCACCTTATCCAATCAGAGCTTTCCATTGCCTGGTCACAACAATCGATTGAACAAGGACATGTGACCAAGGTTGGGCCAATCAGAACCTTCCCTTGAATTTTTGCTACCTCTTTTTGGGAAGAAGTGCTGACCTGCTGGGGCTGTTAAGCTGATGGAACTGCTGGCACCATCTTTGTCCCCACAAGAAGTGAGACTGTTGAGGTAAAAAGCCAAGAGAGAGGATGACAGAGCCCAGAGATGGAGAGATGGATGAATCTTCATGCACTGTTTGAAGATCCTGGATCCAGTCAAACCTGAAACTAGTCAGCCAGTGTGTCTCAGCCAGGGGTGATTCTACCCCCCAGGGAACACTGGGCAATATCTGGGGAC